TAAATGAAAATTGGACCTTTTTTTTCAGCTCTGAATCTGCAAATATCTGGGTTTTAATGGGGGTTTTTGAAATCCTTCATGGTTAGTTTGGTTTGGAAGTATGAAGTATTTGTGTTTAGTTTTGGTTTGGGTTAATTCCTGCCAATTTTCAATTATACTTTATAATCGTCCATCGTATTTGATCTCGAGTGTGCAATTTCTGTAGAACTTTAACTAATTTCACAATTTTGTCTATGATTTTGATAAGGTTAGCCTACAATCAGAAATCCTAAATTTGTCATAAAATAGTGTTGGGCAGAGGCCCAGAGCTGCTTAATTGGGCAGATGACTTAGTTCTTGGTGTTCATTTCTTCCCACATCGATACACTGTAAAAAGCCATGTTACTAACTGAATGACAATGGAAAATATCTGCTCGGAAAAAAATTTCAGGACCAAATAGCAGATGGAACCGAAAGAAAGCCCCAAGAAGAGGATCCATGCCCCAACGAATCAAAAGACACTAATTCCTCTTCCGGGCCGGACGAGAACCTCAAAACTTCTCCTGTCGATGAGGACACAGTCTCTGAGAACACCCACAAGCCCGAAACCGAACAAACCCCAAATGGGCCCCAAAAGGCCCTCAAGAAGCCCGACAAGATCCTCCCTTGCCCGCGCTGCAACAGCATGGACACCAAATTCTGCTACTACAACAACTACAACGTGAACCAGCCACGCCACTTTTGCAAGAGCTGCCAGCGGTACTGGACAGCTGGCGGCACCATGAGGAATGTTCCGGTGGGCGCCGGCCGCCGCAAGACAAAGAGCTCCTCCGCCTCCTCCGACTGCCGCCACATCACAATCTCCGAGGCCCTTCAGGCCGCCGCCAGAGCCGATCCCTCTGGTGGTTACAAGCCCAACGGCACCGTCCTGTCATTTGGGCCTACTGGGCCGGGGCCCGACTCGCCATTATGTGAATCTATGGCCTCAGCCCTGAACCTCGCCGACAAAAGAGCCCAACATGGGGATAAGAATGGGCCGGATGGAGTGGAAAACGGGACAAGACAACCCGTGATCCATAATATAAACGGGATTCATATTCCGGTCCCATGCGTCCCATGGAATTTCCCTGTGCCTCTACCGGCGGTATGCCCAGTGCCCTTTTACCCGACAGCTTACTGGAATTTCAGTTTGCCGAACACATGGAGTTATCCTTATCCATGGTTAAAGGCACAATCTTTATCCACAAATCAAAACGCGACAGGTGGATCGGGCCCAGGGTCCCCGCTCGGTAAGCATTCGAGAAATGGGGAGTTGCTTAATGCGAATGGTTTGGAAAATAAAGATAAATCAGAAATATCTATCGTGGTACCTAAAACTTTGAGGATAGATGATCCCGAAGAGGCTGCCAAGAGTTCTATATGGGAAACATTGGGGATTAAATACGACTCGGCTAGTAGAGAGGGTCTTTTTAAGGCATTGCAGCCGAAGGGTAAAGAGGGAAAAATTAAAGTCCGGGACTCGCCTGTGATGCAGGCGAATCCTGCAGCTTTGTCTCGGTCAATCAGCTTTCAAGAGGGTGCTTGATTGATTTAAAGTGATACACACTAATGCAAAGATGGTCGAATCTTTTCGGGGAAAAATGTGTCGCAAGTTAAATAACATCGTATATCGGCTTCTTTCTTGCATAGTTGTCCATTGATTCTCGATCCTCCTCTCATTTTTAGATCCATGTTCGTGTAACGTTATGCGGGTGACTTGTTTTACGTTTAGCTGTGATGAGTGTGCTTGTTGTGTACATAAGTTTTGTAGGAAAAACACTGATAGATAGATGTGATTTTTATGGTATAAACTACCTGTGCTTTTTGCTGTTAACTTGCCCCTTTTGTTCCTTTTTCTGAGCATGTTACCCTTTTGGGAATTATGAAGATTTCTCATGCTGCAATGAACTTTTCAGGGGCAAACAAGAATCATGAAATTTACAGTATTTTTAGGTCACTTAAAGTTTACTGCATAGGTTCTTTATGTTTTTCTTGCCTTTCTTTTTTTTCCTTCTTTTATGTTTTTGTATGCAAATATGCAATGGTTCTTTATCAATTAATAATCAATGTGGCAACTTGCAAGAGGGCAAGTTGCTTAACAGAGGGACCCACCAATTAAAAAAAAGATTAATATTTTAAATGATTACTTTTTTAGAGATTATTAATAATATCAATAAAAATTAGACTAAAAGCAAAAGTGTCACCACCTCTCTCGCGAGATAGGCCACAAAAAAGACGAGGCTACAAGCCTACAAGCTACACTATGTAAATAATGTTATATTAATTCAGAACGCTGTTGAGTTCTAAATAACAGACTCGTATTTTTTTGCATCTTATATATTAATTCAGAACGTGATGAGTCTAAATGACAGACTCGCATGCTTCGGGATCTTATGTGACAAAACTACATGTTTTGAGGAAAAAATTATTTAATTATTATTCATTTTCTAACTTGTAATATCTTTCTCTCCAATGTTTGGGTACAATTTTTTTAACCCACAGAAAAATTAAATCACCCTAATATCCAATAACCCATTAAAATTTGGGGAAAAAAAATCCCATTGAAGGGGAAATTGGTGGCTAAATACCAGATTTTTACTATTTGAAGAGATAGGATTGACTGAAAAAATCAGTTTCTTTTTGGTTGTATTATATCTCAAACAGCTTATACAGTTGGCACAAAATAAATGGAGGCCTCTTTTACCATAAAGGTTTGTGATGAGAACTTTTTAGATTTTATTTAAAATAATATAACACATTAAATTATTTTAAAAAATAAAATAAAAAAAAAAAGGTTTTATTCTTGACTTTTGGGCCAAAAAGATGGATCAAAAAATGTTATGCTGGTGGACAGCAACTGAGATATTTTTCATGGGCTGAACAAATATGAACCACATGAATTGAATAAAATAAAAAGAGTGAATAAATAGGGTCCCCCAAGTCCATATGAATAAAAAGCATGCCACTAAAATATGCTAATTTGTCCTTTTCATTTTTTCTTTTTTCTAGCTTTATGATGATGATCACTTTTTTGGAAAATGATACGATTCCGTTAAGTTGGATCCACGTGTAGTTAGATAAGATAGATGATCCAACGGTTAAAACACCCAACCGGATGATACCGTAACGGAACCGTAACATTTTCTGTTCAATTTTTTGTTTTTCCCTTATTGCCCCTTCACTTTTAGGGACAAATTAATTATATTATTTTCTTCCTCATTCGTGCCAAATTTCGCTATCTGAAGATCAAAGTTGGGGGAAAGAATTCAATTCCACATGAGTATCATTATTATGTTGGATCAAAGTCAGAGTTCAAATTGCCACCTTTTTTTTCCGTATTGGATCAAAGTTGGATAATTTATCTCATTCCAATTTATCTGATAGCAAGTAAAGTTGATTGTATCAGCAATTTGTAAATGAAATGTTTCGGTAAATACAAATAGTTTGTAGAGTTTTTTAAAAATCTTTTTGCTGTCACATTATTTTATAAAATTTTTTTATAAGAAATAC